TCATTCCACGCCACACGTTAATTTGTAGATTACGGAATGGGACGAGTGTGCCAAATGGCATCGGATCCATTCGGCAATTGTCCGGAGAATAAAATCACGAGACACCAAGTCTACCCGTAGCATTCGTAATTGTCCGTGACCTATACTACTCTTTCCGTTCATTTCCGTGACGTCACAGGAATGACTCGATAAATTTGCACATTGCGCAACAGTTTGGACGTAGCTCAGGCGGTTAGCTGTCGAGCTAACAATCCGAAGGTCGCGGGTTCGCGTCCGACGGGTTCTCACAAACTGGTTGCTTGTCTTAATGACACGTGACCTACGGCAGAGATCGTCCTCACGAGAAGTTGTAGTGCTGTATTCTAAAGGTGCTCCAAATACCACACTCGGTCTCATTACATACGAATTATACGAAACGAGTGACCTTCCTATGCTATCTGACCTCGCTTTCGCTCGGTCAGATACCATAGGAAGGACACTCGTTTCGTATAATTCGTATGTAATGAGACCTCGTGTAGTATGCTCTATATGAGCACATGTCACTTTTGCCCAGCAACCATTCTTTCTGTATTTCTTCGTCTGTGACGTCATTCAGCAATTCAATGTGACGTCCATGAAGAGGGACGTCACACCTGCTTACCGTGTTTTACTGCACAAATATACATGAATAAAATGGATAATAAAGAAATAATTACACTCGAGCAAGTGTGTCATATGACTTATTTAAAACTTGTGCAAAATTATGTTTGCTCTTGCTCAGGCAATACAAACTTTCACACTTGTTTCGTATAGGTTGTATTACACCCTTGCTCATGTAATAATCTCTATTTATTACCCACGTGGTCAACGTATTGGTAGTTGCATACTAATCTCGTACGTCACACGAGTGTCGTATCACGTTGACCTGTGTCGTAACGACTTGACCTGAGATTCTAACGATTTGATTGGATAACCGATGACCTCTCAATTAGGTCACATTCTGACGTAACTATTTTTTTCATTCATAACAAACACGTGAATTCATTCATTCTACAACTTAAATGCATTGTGGGAATGTAAACATTGCGAACGTTGCCGTATCGCTGTTGAATTGTGAGTCGAACTGATGCATTATATCTGTTGAAAAACATAAACGCAAAGTTTCCACCAGTGATGTTAGCCGAGTGAAGCAACTGCAAACCAAGAAACGGGGTGCTACGGAGTAGTTTACTGTAGGAGTATGTACGAGGCGATGACAACTGACACGCAGCGTGACGTCGGTTACCAAGGTAGTGACGTCATTACAGTGTGACATCATGCAAATAGTGTTCTACTGAGCAGCAAATCAGATTTGAAAATATAATCTTGCTCTCTCATATTAAAACAGGTGTTTGTGATTCATCATCAATGACTTTCGACAATATGGTTTTCTAACAAACACCTTTTTGGAAACATTTTTGTCCTAAGCTAGGTGTTAGCTGCTATACCATATCATTTAGGTGTTTAGTATGAACGTAATACGACCATTATATTGCAGCATGTACCAGATTTAGAACTGTAGGAAATTGTACAGTACTAAGGGCTCCATGCTCATATGTCCATACAACACTATGTACTGTCTAGTTGACAGCTCAACTTACAGGAGGCCATATATAGATCAAGTTGAAACAAGACTATGAATGATGCTGATGCTTGTTATTGCTGATGTTCATCAAGGTGCTCCCATCTTAAACATACAACAAATGGTAAATACATAGAGAAAGGGAGAGTATTCCCACATGGGAGTGGTTCCATCTCCGAGGCAGCTTCAGTTGGCCTAGTTACAGTTCTTATTGTCTGTAATGGATTGTTAGTTCTCACAAATATTATCAGAAGTCTTCTATTGTAAGTTATATGTGAATGCATGTTAAAGAGCCATGTCTATTGTTGTTAGCTCATTTTGTATGTTTCTTCCACAGAACCCACAGTTTATTGTTACAGATGTTTGCTGGTTCATGCATTATTGTTATAGTACTAGTTCTAACTATTAACAACAACCTTACAATATATCAGCATCAGTTAAGAAACAAGTCTTGTGACTTTTTTGTCTTTTAATCCTTCGACCTTCCTGCTCAATAAAGAGGAGGGTTGCCATCCCAGACCTACACACCACAGATTCCCAACATCACTTACTCATGTGCATAACATGGATGACATCACCTTCCTTTCTAAAGGAGACGTCAATTAGTTCTATCAACATGAGTAGGACATTTTGACTAATTAAATGCAATACTCTTAACTTGAAAAGTGTTGAATGATGACCCAGTCAAGTTACATAGGGGCAGGAGTTATTGAGCAACTTTTGGAAAATCAGACATACATGTATCACAGTTGTCTAAATGATGACAATGACAACGATGACAATACTTTATTACCCCTAAGGAAATTCTTCGTACATTTGAAAGTGATCACATAATTAAATATTAAAAATGACAAAGTTTAAGAAAACACAACACAATAGACAAACAAAGTTAACAGTCATTTAAACGGCGAATATATGCTGGAATAAAAGAATTTTGAGATCTTTTTGCTTTAAAACGGGGCATTTGGTATTGGCAGCCTGAAGGAAAAACATTATATTCAGAAAATATAACATGGCTGGAATCCGATAAAATTCCCTCAGCAAGGATAAGAACACTTGAAGTAAAAAAGACAAGATAAATCCGAAACAGACACACCAGAGATTTTACTTGCAATTAAAATGATAGATTTGCTTTTGATATAAAGAGAGACATACCAGCATTGAACTGAAAAGGTAAATATACTTTTTAAAAAACCTGATAAAACGACAGCATCACCTCTTAGTATATGTTAAAAGATCTCAGTTTGCGCATAAAATACAATCTTTTAACGGACATTTCTTAAAACTAAAATCAGTGTTTGGACACCACTGAAGTTGTCAATAATAGTGCCAGGATATTTGAACTGTGTTACAATTTCGACAGTTTCACCCTTGATTTCAACTGGCATAGTCTCTCTTTTTTGGTTTCTAAAATCCACGATGAATATGTAATAAAATGTTGACTGTGCACCAGTGGTACAACAACAACTATGAGCATGTACAGGGTGTCATGGAAAATGATACTTTTAAAGGCCTGGGTGCAAACCAAAAAATCCCAAGGGTTTCTAATTGGTCTAGCTATTCCTCAACAGTGTAGATGTTATCAGCCCATGAGTGACAGGACTGTAGCGGCTATGGGTGCCTGAAGAATAATGACAATTATTATGGATATACAACTTCTTTTATTCTGTGGAGGCAACGTTTCGACATAGATTCTAATGTTATTGTTGCTTGACAATGACATTAGAATCTATGTCGAAACGTTGCCTCCACAGAATAAAAGAAGTTGTATATCCATAATAATTGTCATTATTCTTCATCAACTCAACTTCTAAAATGCCCATCAAGGAAGTTATGGGTGCCTGGCAAGAGCCTGACGATGTCAAAGGTTAACATTGGAATTTACTACTAGAATAAGCATGTGCCTTATAGTAAATGTGCGACAACCCTTTCACTACTTAATTTGATGATTAAAGAGATTAACTTGAAACGCATATATGAAATTTAAATTTTTTCTTATTTTCTGAAAATAAAATTTTCAATACGGTGATGTCAGCATCAAATAAGGGTACAGCCCAAACCCTCCAAAGCATGGTGTCAGGGGAGTGGGGAGGGGGTTATTTTCAGAGCCTGCCTGAAATACGAAACCCTGAAAGAAACTTTTAACCCACTCACAGGCTCGTTTCTGTGGAAACACACCTACTCTGGCCACCTGACTGATACAGTGGGAAATTCAAATCTGGATTTAAAAAAATAGAAATATATATTTATGTTCAAAATGTATGTTTATAGGCTGCCTGCATACATACATTTTAACGTGAGCCTTCATAACATACTCCTTTATGCTATGGCGTAATTCATAATGAACCAGTAAGTCAATTTGTGATACTTGATGGAATGTACTTGAATACTGCATTGCTTTGCATCGAAAGACAGCTTTGACAAGGCAAGGAGGCCACATGCCATCTGTGTATAGGTTTGAAAGCCGGCCTATGAACATCTTTGGAAATAGGCCCAAATACAGCCTAGGAACAAATCCTGCCAAAAAAGACTGATCTTGTCCTCCTAGAAAAAAGCCAATGTATGTTATTGAATTTGCTGTCCCTTTTGACCCCAATATAATTCAGGAAAAGCTAAATATGTGGACCTCACCTTGAAATGTCTTATATCCAAAGTAACAAGTTGTCCGACCAGGTGCTTATATAATCCCGGAAGTGTTTACTTCAGACTGACCCTTCTTTGAAACACATTGATTTATATGCCACATCGTCATACCCAGATAGCATTCGGACGTTGGCCCAACGTTGGCAATGTTGGCAAAACCATTGCCAACGTTGGGCCAACGTCTGAATGCTATCTGGGTAGTTAAGTTACCTCAAGAGTCAGCGAGCTACTCCTGTACACTAAACAGTGAGCGGAAAGCCTGCTGGTGGGCTACACTCAATCGGACTTGTCTATGTTTGCATGTGTATTTCTCAGTTTTGAGTAATTAATGAATCAACAAACAAACACTGAAGCCATTTTGAGAGTAATGACTTTCTATCAGATATCTCTGTACATGTATTCCTGCAGTCTGACTTGTACATGCCAGCAGAGATTTTTATCAATGTACATGAATACAATATAAAAAAATTGATAATCCTAATTCAGGTGCTTTGAATAAAAAGTAAATGACACACCTGAGTGTATCTGTGAATCACAAAAACATTGTAAAATCAACACAAACTTTACATATGTACAAACAACACAAGTCAATGTAACAAAATCAACAAAGTATATGTCAACACAGTATATGTAGAAACAACACATGATGGTGTCGGCCGCTGCTCAACATCCTTCAGGAATAATCCTTGGCAACGACTGCTCTGCCTTCAGTTTAAAGGCCTTGACAACCCTCCATTCCACAAAGAGTACGGTACTGACACAAGCCTGTGTCTGTTGTTTCTAAGAAGGGACAATGCTACCTTTTGTTGCCAAGTGGAAGGTAACTGGGGCTTCAAGAGATGATTGTTAGCAACTAGTTTCTTCGAGATATGATTGTTCGCTACAGATGGTCAATAGATGATTGTTTGCTACAGATGGTCAACAGATGATCCTGCCTCGTTTACAGTTCAACAATGGTAGACAGTTGTAAAACACTACTCTCTGTGCACTCTCACAAACACAGAACAATAATGTTTTGAAATTTTGTATTTTAGCAACATAGTATTTAGACCACATCCTTTGTTGGTGAGACATTTTTTGTAAAGTTTTGTATCATGTTTATAAATATGCTTTATGACCATTCTCTTGATAGGGAATGACAGACTTGACAGACCTTGTATTTAAACATTTTTGACTGAGGACAGGAAGCTAATCAATCTTAGAAGATGTTTGGCACAGGAAATAGCATACACTTCATGACTCTTTGAACTGGGATCTTAAAACCACCTTTTCTAGAAGGAAGCTTTGTGGATTTGTATGACTGTATAAGAGTGGTGGCTCTTGTAGAGACATCGCTATACTTGACATGGGGTGAGAAGCATAAGAGTCCTGGAGATTGCTTGGCACCGGGCTACTGCTCACAGATTGTTGTGGCATGGGATGGTTATTAGAACTGCTTAGTGTGGTGCTACGTCCAATGGATGTCACAGTTGTAGTGTCCTCTTTGGCTTGAGTGTACACAACCCGCTGGTTGTTGTTCAATCTTGAAACCATATTCTGACATGTCGTGAAAGGAGCACTGTTTATTATTGGTAGATTGTGTTCCTGTAAACCTTTATCACCTGAGACAGACGTCTTGCAGTCAGGTTCAACCCGTGTAGGTAGTGATGCCGCTGGTGTAGTGTTGTAGTCACTGCCATTACAAGACATCATATTGCTCTCAGCAGCATCTTGGGCTGACATCCAGCTGTGTGGTGTAACTAGTAGTCCTGACAATGAAGAAAAACCTGGCTGTGTACCTATGTCTGACATGGTTGTAAGACAGGATGAATCTGATGAGGAAATTGTGGAACCTTGATTTGTATCCAGTTGAAAATCTGGCACAAACTGAGATTTGCTTGAAGAAAATGTGAATGGGTGTTGACCTGTCTTTGTCATGAGCTGTGAACCACCTGGCTGTGTCATGAGCTGTGAACCACCTGGCTGTGTCATGAGCTGAGGTCCACCTGGCTGTGTCATGAGCTGTGAACCACCTGACTGTGTCATGAGCTGTGAACCACCTGACTGTGTCATGAGCTGTGAACCACCTGACTGTGTCATGAGCTGTGAACCACCTGACTGTGCCATGAGCTGTGAACCACCTGACTGTGTCATGAGCTGTGAACCACCTGACTGTGTCATGAGCTGTGAACCACCTGACTGTGGAATGAGCTGTGAACCACCTGGCTGTGGCATGAGCTGTGAACCACCTGGCTGTGTCATGAGCTGTGAACCACCTGACTGTGTCATGAGCTGTGAACCACCTGACTGTGTCATGAGCTGTGAACCACCTGACTGTGTCATGAGCTGTGAACCACCTGGCTGTGGCATGAGCTGTGAACCACCTGACTGTGTCATGAGCTGTGAACCACCTGACTGTGTCATGAGCTGTGAACCACCTGACTGTGTCATGAGCTGTGAACCACCTGACTGTGTCATGAGCTGTGAACCACCTGACTGTGTCATGAGCTGTGAACCACCTGACTGTGTCATGAGCTGTGAACCACCTGACTGTGTCATGAGCTGTGAACCACCTGGCTGTGTCATGAGCTGTGAACCACCTGGCTGTGGCATGAGCTGTGAACCACCTGGCTGTGTCATGAGCTGTGAACCACCTGACTGTGTCATGTGCCGTGAACCACCTGGCTGTGGCATGAGCTGAAAACCACCTGGCTGTGTCATGAGTTGAGGTCCACCTGGGTGTGTCATGAGCTGTGAACCACCGGGCTGTGTCATGAACTGTGAACCACCTGGCTGTGCCATCATCTGAGTACTTGACAGGCAATTGCTACTCCAAGTGTTTATATCAGACTGTTGTACCTTTGGCCAAAGGTGAAGTTGATGATACAAAGGCGTCAGTGGTCCTATGTGCTGACTAGATTGGGTCTGGTTAAAGAGGATAAAAAAGTACATGTAGCAGGTTGTAAACAGTAAACCTATCATTTGAATCTGAATCACCTAATCAAATACTGAATAATCAGGTTTTTGACATTTATTTTGTTTCATTTACATCAAAACCCTGTTGCATACCAGATACATTCTAAATTACCTACTGTGCTTACATGGTGCAATCTTTAACCATAACGGGAATGTGTGGAATATGTCTGAAACTAATTTTCTGTATAATATTGTGTTTTAGTAGTATAGAGCAGTCTGTTGTGGACTTCCAGGCAGTATGTTACGCAATGTGGCTGGTCTGTCTGTCACGGTTAGCAGCCAGTAGTACAGGAACAGCAGCCAGGCATGTCTAGTCACAATATACTTACATCCCACCATCCAGGAGCATCCACACTAACACCTCGCCGTCTTCTTCTGAAACCAAAGGCATAAAATGCTGTGACCAAGAAATTATTTCAAAGTTAACCACTGAATGAATGATGATACTTAATCAACAGTGATACAGAATTTGGTTTCTTCTAATTTCCTTTTCCTGCTGGGTGTATTTCATTGCTTTCGTTGTCATGCTTGCAACTGACATTGTGACTTTACCAGGTTACACTACTACAGAAGGAACTGGGATGGATGATCTTCATGGCTGACAGTCAGCCACATTGCGATATCATTAGGTTACTCTCATGTTGTTACACAGCACACCCACCTCCTTGGTGTAGTGGTTAGAACCCTTGACGGAGAGCAGAAGGTCGCGGGTTTGATCCCCGATCACGTCATACCAAAAGATACTTTTGTCCTAAAGGTTTATCACATGACCATTGAAACTCTCATGAAAATGGGTGAAAATGAAGTGTGCACCCCCTCTTTCTCAAAAGTGTGAAGCTGTATCCACCCCTAAAAGAAGTTAAAATATGGTACTTGTTGGTCCCTGCCTTGCGCTTGGCATTAATGGGTACAACAAGGACTGGTCAGCTCGGAGTCAGTATAATGTGCCTGCGTGGGGTATTCATGTTTCACTGCAGCATGGTATCTCAGCGGGCTAGCACTATAAAACCAGCTCAAGTCAGCACTAGTACAATCAGCCACACATACACACGCATGAGCAAAACATTCTAAAGTATGAGGTTAAACCCCAATTCACCTCACAGAGCACACTGACATATACAGTAGCTGGCCATAAGTGAGTCATCATTAGTGAAATTCCCATAGACTTGCATGGTAATTAACTATTACAAGAATAATTTTCATAAATCTTGTTTCGGTCGAATTGCTTTTAATGCTTACCTACCAGCTGGGAAATTATCTCAGCTACATACACATAATTTACATTCAATTTTCCGATGATTATTAAGAAAACTGCAACTATTTAAACAACATATATTAGACATACCAGTCAGGTTTAACATGGTTGTCTATGGGATAGATTAAAAGTTGTATGTACCTATGTTGCTTAATCAGGTGACATTCGGTAACTAATTAACGGAAAGATGAAAGGAAATTATGTACACTTAGCTGAATATGATTTCCAAGATGTTTGCAAAATATCAAAACAAAATGACTTCTACTAAATTTATGAAAATTATTCTGCAACAGTTAATTAACATGTAAGTCTATGGAAATTTCACTAATGATGACTCATTTATGGCCAGTTACTGTATGTAGCTCAGAGGCAAAAACTACATGGAGACACACATTTGCTACAACTGCTTTATCCATAATACATTTTAGAATTGGCAATGGTGACTTCAGTACCTTGGAATGCATTACCAGGATACACTGGTGAATTCAGTTTTCTAACTCCTGTTAGACTGACCATAGCGCAGTTAAAACCAGAAGGGCATGAATACAGTAATGTCCCCAGTACCCTCAAGGTAACAATTACAGATCATTTCTGGTTGGTACCTATTCCTGCTGCTTATTACATGATGCAGTTGAAAACTTTCCTTTTAGGTAATCTGGTTGGACATGGAATGATGAAAACATGAACATGCTAATAAACAGAACTGAATTCCTCTTTCAAGTTTCCTTCATTAAACTCAGAAAAGGGTAGATCCAAAAAGATACGGCAAGGAGGGAAGCACTAAATCAAAGCAGTGCTATTGTTCATATGGCTCATGACAATACACGATAGGACAGCAAGTAAGACTATCAATACTGATTTCACTTTTGCGCTGTTGCAATAACAAAATGAAAATGTAATCATCTATTTCTTCCTCAATACAACATTATTTGAAAGGGATGTAGGTATCCATTCATAACATGTTCTTATTTAGGCAAGATCAAGTAAAGCCAGAGTAACATCCCTTATGGTCAGCAGGAACTGTATTAGCTGTTATATCAAACGAAACCACTAAATCAGAATCTAATATTTGTTTTAATTTACCTTTTATTATCTTTACAATATCTTACATTCCTAACTTTCTATTACACTAAACCTCTGTCAAACAATCTAACACCCAAATGGTTACCACTAACTGACAATCTCAAGGCGTGCTGCCTTATCAACATATCGAAACAAACTAACTACAATTTCACTTCGAACCCCACATCGTGGCGAAAACGCATGCTTTTTGCATGCTCGAGCGTCCGCGAAGTAAGTTGCTGTCTGGTGTGTTTTCGCGAACTGTTCATACGAACACAAACTGTAACCTGTCTGGTTAGCAGTAGTGAATAAATCAGTGCAATGAATGAACAATACATTTGTGTGGACAATCCTTTGTCCTCCTTAGCTTTCTAAATATTTCCCAACATTTCACTGAACCAATAACGACAGATGAGTATGTAGGAACATACTATTACCAGTGCTTACAGTACTGTTTCTATACTGGCACAAATATTGCAAGAGCATTGCAAAGGAGGTGTTCTAACTATTTGTTAATACTGAGAAAGTGAAAAGGATTCAGACCACCCCGGTGTAACAGGCAAGAGTATACCCTGTCCCAGACTATACGGGGGTTAGAACTGGCTAGCCCAGACTATACCCCAGGTATAATCTGGGCTAGCCTAGTTTATACCCCGGGGTACATTCTGAACTAGGCCATAGTATACCCCCAGCCCAGATTATACCCCTACAGAAAACAAGTGATTAAGGGTACTACTATAATTTTTATTGTACTTCTCACACAATTAAACACTGGTTACAACATTAAAAGGTCCGATACATTTTCCAGATAAAAGCATAATCAGTGTGGGATTTCAAGCTGAAGCTGGCAGGGTACATCAGCCCTCTCACACCGGTTATCTCCCATTAGTTAGACAGCCAGTTGTTAGACAGTGGAGTTGGGTATTAATTAAGACAACACACACCTCCATAATGGAACAGCCCTAGTTAGATTGATGAGTAGAGTGTGCCCGTAGTTAATCTGTTCATGTTGTTGTTGAGTTTCTATTACAATGTAATGTGTTTTGTAGCGTGTGGTTTAATCTTTCTCATTTCACGTTTGATCTGTTTAACACTTGTCAAAATGTTTTGTTTCATCTTTTTTAACTTATATGTTTTCTCTAAAAGTCAAACAAACTAATTTGTGTCACAAGAAGGTAGGTATAAAATAATTCCATTAAACACCTTGATGATCTCCATAGACCATCAAATCTCCCGAAACAATAATACAATAATTCCACTTTTTACCATTTTAAAAATTGTTATAAATATGTATATATGTTCTTTTAACTTTTCAAATCAGTTTTCTCTCAAATTTTCTTTTTTTTGTTCCACCTCATTTCTTAATAAGTGTACTACCCCGTCGCCGAAATACCTTAGTTGTGCTTGCGACACTAAATAAAGCAGATAACTAACTACTAACCTTGATGATATATCAGCATGGCTGGTATACGCAAAGTCGAAAATATCACATCGCAGAGAGGCACTAAACAAATGCTTCATAAATTTTGTATTATGCAGTAATGTAAATGAAATGCACCTACAAAATCCTTTAAATGAGTCACACACTCATATTGAGTGAATTGTCAACCTATTTTTTTAGGGGTATAGTCTGGGCTGGAGGGGTATACTTTGGGTATACCAGTATAATCTGGTGGGGGTTATTCTGGGCTGCTACACCGGTATTTGTGAAACATAATTGATCTATTCTTAAATTTCACAACCATGAGGAAAAATGGCACCAGAAATGTACAGTAACAAACAAAAACATGGAACTAAACTGAAAAAGAAAATATTCATTTCTGAAATGACGGGTTCGCTGGAAGGTCGCGGGTTCGATCCCCGAAAGATTCAAGTGGGCTAGCACTATAAAACCAGCTTCAGTCGGGGCTAGTACAAGCAGCCGCACATACACATGCACACGCACGCACGTCGTCATATGAGCGAAATCTTCTCAAGCACGACATTAAACCTAATTTCACCTCACCTCACATCCTGCATTCTGGTGTCCTAGTTTTATTGAGATATCTAAAAATGTCAAAAACTGAAATCTACACATGGGCTTGTAACGCTACGAACTGCCATCAAGGTATGTAAGTCACTAATGGGGTCTTAGCACTATATAAAAGGATCCTTTGACATAGTGCTAAGACGCCGTCAGTGACAGTACATACCTTGAGCAGTTTTTAGTGTTACAAGCCCCTGTGGAAATCTAGACATAGTGTATGTTCCTTGGTAGGCCAACTTCACACATTAAATATAGGAATCTGAACATGGGAAAAACATGTACTCACTCTGTGAACACAATGTTCCTTACAGCAGCAGACCAGGTTCTACTGTCTGGTGTCTTGCCCATGTTGTCACGTGCAGATGGATCTGCACCACAGTCCAGTAGTAATCTCACCACTGCCTCACTCCCACTCTCACATGCTTTATGAAGAGGTGTAGACCCATCATCATCAGTCACTGATACATCAGCATTCTTGTCCAGTAGTAATCTCACCACTGCCTCACTCCCACTACTACATGCTTTATGAAGAGGTGTAAACCCCCACAGATTGTCAGTCACTGATACATCAGCATTCTTGTCCAGTAGTAATCTCACCACTGCCTCACTCCCACTACTACATGCTTTATGAAGAGGTGTAGACCCCCACAGATTGTCAGTCACTGATACATCAGCATTCTTGTCCAGCAGTAATCTCACCACTGCCTCACTCCCTCTACCACATGCTTTATGAAGAGGTGTAGACCCAAACCTGTCAGTCACTGATACATCAGCATTCTTGTCCAGTAGTAATCTCACCACTGCCTCACTCCCTCTACCACATGCTTTATGAAGAGGTGTAGACCCAAACCTGTCAGTCACTGATACATCAGCATTCTTGTCCAGTAGTAATCTCACCACTGCCTCACTCCCTCTACCACATGCTTTATGAAGAGGTGTAGACCCATCATCATCAGTCACTGATACATCAGCATTCTTGTCCAGTAGTAATCTCACCATTGCCTCACTCCCTCTCTCACATGCTTTATGAAGAGGTGCAGACCATGAGTTGTCAGTCACTGATACATCAGCATTCTTGTCCAGTAGTAATCTCACCACTGCTTCACTCCCTCTCTCACATGCTTTATGAAGAGGTGTAGACCCTGAGTTTTCAGTCACTGATACATCAGCATTCTTGTCCAGTAGTAATCTCACCATTGCCTCACTCCCTCTACCACATGCTTTATGAAGAGGTGTAGACCGTGAGTTGTCAGTCACTGATACATCAGCATTCTTGTCCAGTAGTAATCTCACCACTGCTTCACTCCCTCTCTCACATGCTTTATGAAGAGGTGTAGACCCTGAGTTTTCAGTCACTGATACATCAGCATTCTTGTCCAGTAGTAATCTCACCATTGCCTCACTCCCTCTACCACATGCTTTATGAAGAGGTGTAGACCGTGAGTTGTCAGTCACTGATACATCAGCATTCTTGTCCAGTAGTAATCTCACCACTGCCTCACTCCCACTCTCACATGCTTTATGAAGAGGTGTAGACCGTGAGTTGTCAGTCACTGATACATCAGCATTCTTGTCCAGTAGTAATCTCACCACTGCCTCACTCCCTCTCTCACATGCTTTATGAAGAGGTGTAGACCGTGAGTTGTCAGTCACTGATACATCAGCATTCTTGTCCAGCAGTAATCTCACCACTGCCTCACTCCCTCTCTCACATGCTTTATGAAGAGGTGTAGACCGTGAGTTGTCAGTCACTGATACATCAACATTCTTGTCCAGTAGTAATCTCACCACTGCCTCACTCCCACTACCACATGCTTTATGAAGAGGTGTAGACCCAACATCATCAGTCACTGATACATCAGCATTCTTGTCCAGTAGTAATTTCACCACTGCCTCACTCCCACTCTCACATGCTTCATGAAGAGGTGTAGACCCATCATCATCAGTCATTGATACATCAGCATTCTTGTCCAGTAGGAATCTCACCACTGCCTCACTCCCACTACCACATGCTTTATGAAAAGGTGTAGACCCCCACAGTTTGTCAGTCATTGATACATCAGCATTCTTGTCCAGTAGTAATCTCACCACTGCCTCACTCCCTCTCTCACATGCTTTATGAAGAGGTGTAGACCCCTCATCATTGTCAGTCACTGATACATCAGCATTCTTGTCCAGCAGTAATCTCACCACTGCCTCACTCCCTCTCACATGCTTTATGAAGAGGTGTAGACCCAACATCATCAGTCACTGATACATCAGCATTCTTGTCCAGTAGTAATCTCACCACTGCCTCACTCCCACTCTCACATGCTTTATGAAGAGGTGTAGACCCAACATCATCAGTCACTGATACATCAGCATTCTTGTCCAGTAGTAATTTCACCACTGCCTCACTCCCACTCTCACATGCTTCATGAAGAGGTGTAGACCCATCATCATCAGTCACTGATACATCAGCATTCTTGTCCAGTAGTAATCTCACCACTGCCTCACTCCCACTCTCACATGCTTTATGAAGAGGTGTAGACCCATCATCATCAGTCACTGATACATCAGCATTCTTGTCCAGTAGGAATCTCACCACTGCCTTACTCCCACTACGACATGCTTTATGAAAGGTGTAGACCCCCACAGTTTGTCAGTCACTGATACATCAGCATTATTGTCCAGTAGTAATCTCACCACTGCCTCACTCCCTCTCTCACATGCTTTATGAAGAGGTGTAGACCGTGAGTTGTCAGTCACTGATACATCAACATTCTTGTCCAGTAGTAATCTCACCATTGCCTCACTCCCACTCTCACATGCTTTATGAAGAGGTGTAGACCGTGAGTTGTCAGTCACTGATACATCAGCATTCTTGTCCAGTAGTAATCTCACCACTGCCTCACTCCCTCTCTCACATGCTTTATGAAGAGGTGTAAACTCATACGTGTCAGTCACTGATACATCAGCATTATTGTCCAGTAGTAATCTCACCACTGCCTCACTCCCACTCTCACATGCTTTATGAAGAGGTGTAGACCATGAGTTGTCAGTCACTGATACATCAGCATTCTTGTCCAGTAGTAATCTCACCATTGCCTCACTCCCTCTCTCACATGCTTTATGAAGAGGTGTAGACCGTGAGTTGTCAGTCACTGATACATCAACATTCTTGTCCAGTAGTAATCTCACCATTGCCTCACTCCCACTCTCACATGCTTTATGAAGAGGTGTAGACCGTGAGTTGTCAGTCACTGATACATCAGCATTCTTGTCCAGTAGTAATCTCACCACTGTCTCACTCCCACTCTCACATGCTTTATGAAGAGGTGTAGACCGTGAGTTGTCAGTCACTGATACATCAGCATTCTTGTCCAGTAGTAATCTCACCATTGCCTCTCTACTCCCTCTCTCACATGCTTTATGAAGAGGTGTAGACCGTGAGTTGTCAGTCACTGATACATCAACATTCTTGTCCAGTAGTAATCTCACCATTGCCTCACTCCCACTCTCACATGCTTTATGAAGAGGTGTAGACCGTGAGTTGTCAGTCACTGATACATCAGCATTCTTGTCCAGTAGTAATCTCACCATTGCCTCACTCCCACTCTCACATGCTTTATGAAGAGGTGTAGACCGTGAGTTGTCAGTCACTGATACATCAACATTCTTGTCCAGTAGTAATCTCACCATTGCCTCACTCCCACTCTCACATGCTTTATGAAGAGGTGTAGACCGTGAGTTGTCAGTCACTGATACATCAGCATTCTTGTCCAGTAGTAATCTCACCACTGCCTCACTCCCACTCTCACATGCTTTATGAAGAGGTGTAAACTCATACGTGTCAGTCACTGATACATCAGCATTATTGTCCAGTAGTAATCTCACCATGGCTTCACTCCCTCTACCACATGCTTTATGAAGAGGTGTAGACCGTGAGTTGTCAGTCACTGATACATCAACATTCTTGTCCAGTAGTAATCTCACCATTGCCTCACTCCCTCTCTCACATGCTTTATGAAGAGGTGTAGACCGTGAGTTGTCAGTCACTGATACATCAGCATTCTTGTCCAGTAGTAATCTCACCACTGCCTCACTCCCACTCTCACATGCTTTATGAAGAGGTGTAAACTCATACGTGTCAGTCACTGATACATCAGCATTATTGTCCAGTAGTAATCTCACCACTGCCTCACTCCCTCTACCACATGCTTTATGAAGAGGTGTAGACCGTGAGTTGTCAGTCACTGATACATCAGCATTCTTGTCCAGCAGTAATCTCACCACTGCCTCACTCCCTCTCTCACATGCTTTATGAAGAGGTGTAGACCGTGAGTTGTCAGTCACTGATACATCAGCATTCTTGTCCAGTAGTAATCTCACCACTGCCTCACTCCCTCTCTCACATGCTTTATGAAGAGGTGTAGACCGTGAGTTGTCAGTCACTGATACATCAGCATTCTTGTCCAGCAGTAATCTCACCACTGCCTCACTCCCACTCTCACAGGCTTTATGAAGACCGTGGAATGTAGTCACTTGTCCATTCATATCCTCATCACATACCAGCTGTTCGAGTATCCCAACATTCCCGGACTGACAGCACACCAGGGCTACCTTGACTTTCTCTTCCATTGTACAGTCCTGTAGAGAGAGGCCTTCTGCACAGAAACTGTCATAGAGGAATCTTTCCCGGGATGAGCACAGGCAGGACAGAAAAGACCCTCCAACATCAGAGTCAGTGGAGCTGTATAGAACATGCCTGTCATCTGATGTCAGACCTTTCACACCTGCAGCAAGACGCTGGACAAACTCGGGATCATTACATGCTGGGTGACTGAACACACGGGCATATCTCTGGTCGACCACTGCTGCAGCAAATCTCCCAGCAAGCAGCTGATAGTGACATGGGCGGATCAACACATGCAGATTATTGACAGAGTCAGGTTGCTGAACAAAGACATGGTGATAGATGAACTGCAATGGTAATGTTTTGATAATGTGTTCTGTTTGTTCACAGAGTATGGCACTTAATGCTTGGAACAGTCCCTGCTTGCACTGGACATACAGACAAGACATAAGTACTTTACATTGTAGTATGTCCCTGCAGTGACTGATGTCATTGTAAGAGTAATCCATTGAGAGGTCCTCGACTCCACTTATCTGTAGTGCCCAGTCCCACTGGGTCCATCTCCTCCTTTCTTCCTTTGATGGGGTGGAGTCATCCATTTCATACTGTCTCCTCTTAGGAAAGTTCCAGAGCTGGGCCTCCATCTTCCCGCCTTGCATGGCCAGCAGCATTAGAGCAGCAAATAAGACTTTGTTGTTGCTGTAGAGGTGGCGACAGGTGGCCAGCAGTTGGGTGGGTGCTGTTGATGCTGTTGCTAAAGAAACAACATAGACAGTGTGTCATACAACTCTCTCTCTGTTCTTCAAAAGACAATACATTCCAACTATGAAAAGTGAGTGACTATGGTTTTA